AAATTTGTCTATTAACACGGGTCGGGCACACAGCTTCAGTTTCAGACACCGCGAAAGGGGACGCGGTCGGAAGCCTGGAGTTAGACGATTCTCCTCACTTTTAACCTGTCACTTCATTGTTCCCTGCATTGTGGCATGTGGTGCACATACTTCTTGAATTTTTAGTTTTTAAAGGTTTCGTTTCTGTGTGTGATTTAGACGCAAATGCTTAGAACAGCTTCTAAAAATGTGATATTTGAGTTGGCTTCAAACAAAGTCGAAGCGCTTGTTATCGTGTTATGGTTTTATTGAAATTGTTAGCGAGGGACATAAATAACAGCGCGTTGTCATTGGATATAGTGTAATATTTTCATAAGTGAAATTATGAATACAAAAGGTTGCAAAACAGGTGTTAGTGATTGGTCTAATTCGACCGTATATCTGTATGCTCTCTCTCTCTCTATCTCATATATATATATATATATACTGTAGACTGCAATAACCGGTCCAATGCAAGGAAAGTGTGGACTTCAATAACTACTCGATGTCTATTCTACCTATATAATTAAAAAAACACAATTTTTCAATAACTACTTCAATAACTACTCGATGTCTATTCTACCTATATAATTAAAAACACAATTTTTATACCGACAACCTGCTCTTATATTCCTATTTTCTGACTAGTGCATGGCCAGTACTTTATAACAATTGATAGTGCACTGTACTTTACGTTTTAAACATTTATTACGGTAAGAAAGTACATAATAAAAAGTTGGCTCACATTTTAAGGTAAACCAGATTTCTAAAATTGGACTGGACTTCTATGTGGACCCTCTCTAAAACAGATTTCTAAAATTGGACTGGACTTCTATGTGGACCCTCTCTAAAACAGATTTCTAAAATTGGACTGGACTTCTATGTGGACCCTCTCTAAACCAGATTTCTAAAATTGGACTGGACTTCTATGTGGACCCTCTCTAAACCAGATTTCTAAAATTGGACTGGACTTCTATGTGGACCCTCTCTAAACCAGATTTCTAAAATTGGACTGGACTTCTATGTGGACCCTCTCTAAACCAGATTTCTAAAATTGGACTGGACTTCTATGTGGACCCTCTCTAAAACAGATTTCTAAAATTGGACTGGACTTCTATGTGGACCCTCTCTAAACCAGATTTCTAAAATTGGACTGGACTTCTATGTGGACCCTCTCTAAACCAGATTTCTAAAATTGGACTGGACTTCTATGTGGACCCTCTCTAAAACAGATTTCTAAAATTGGACTGGACTTCTATGTGGACCCTCTCTAAACCAGATTTCTAAAATTGGACTGGACTTCTATGTGGACCCTCTCTAAACCAGATTTCTAAAATTGGACTGGACTTCTATGTGGACCCTCTCTAAACCAGATTTCTAAAATTGGACTGGACTTCTATGTGGACCCTCTCTAAACCAGATTTCTAAAATTGGACTGGACTTCTATGTGGACCCTCTCTAAACCAGATTTCTAAAATTGGACTGGACTTCTATGTGGACCCTCTCTAAACCAGATTTCTAAAATTGGACTGGACTTCTATGTGGACCCTCTCTAAACCAGATTTCTAAAATTGGACTGGACTTCTATGTGGACCCTCTCTAAACCAGATTTCTAAAATTGGACTGGACTTCTATGTGGACCCTCTCTAAACCAGATTTCTAAAATTGGACTGGACTTCTATGTGGACCCTCTCTAAACCAGATTTCTAAAATTGGACTGGACTTCTATGTGGACCCTCTCTAAAACAGATTTCTAAAATTGGACTGGACTTCTATGTGGACCCTCTCTAAAACAGATTTCTAAAATTGGACTGGACTTCTATGTGGACCCTCTCTAAACCAGATTTCTAAAATTGGACTGGACTTCTATGTGGACCCTCTCTAAAACAAATCAAAAGCAGCTGCCTTGAGAAGTAACGGCTGGCAATGAATTGACCACATCTTTCGCCAAGTACCGACTGGTCTTTTAAACAATACACGAGACTGGCATACAATTCTCACGAAACATTGGGCACAGGAACACACTGGTTCTTCATTCGTATGTGTGCATGTGTGCTTGTCTTTGATGACTCCAGTCTAATCTAGCCTCCAAGGTTACACGAGACTGGCATACAATTTTCACGAAACACTAGGGATAGGAACACACTGGTTCTTTATTCGTATGTGTGCATATGTGTGCTTGTCTTTGATGACTCCAGTCTAATCTAGCCTCCAAGGTTACACGAGACTGGCATACAATTTTCACGAAACACTAGGGATAGGAACACACTGGTTCTTTATTCGTATGTGTGCATATGTGTGCTTGTCTTTGATGACTCCAGTCTAATCTAGCCTCCAAGGTTACACGAGACTGGCATACAATTTTCACGAAACACTAGGGATAGGAACACACTGGTTCTTTATTCGTATGTGTGCATATGTGTGCTTGTCTTTGATGACTCCAGTCTAATCTAGCCTCCAAGGTTACACGAGACTGGCATACAATTTTCACGAAAACACTAGGGATAGGAACACACTGGTTCTTTATTCGTATGTGTGCATATGTGTGCTTGTCTTTGATGACTCCAGTCTAATCTAGCCTCCAAGGTTACACGAGACTGGCATACAATTTTCACGAAACACTAGGGATAGGAACACACTGGTTCTTTATTCGTATGTGTGCATATGTGTGCTTGTCTTTGATGACTCCAGTCTAATCTAGCCTCCAAGGTTACACGAGACTGGCATACAATTTTCACGAAACACTAGGGATAGGAACACACTGGTTCTTTATTCGTATGTGTGCATATGTGTGCTTGTCTTTGATGACTCCAGTCTAATCTAGCCTCCAAGGTTACACGAGACTGGCATACAATTTTCACGAAACACTAGGGATAGGAACACACTGGTTCTTTATTCGTATGTGTGCATATGTGTGCTTGTCTTTGATGACTCCAGTCTAATCTAGCCTCCAAGGTTACACGAGAATGGCATAAAATTTTCACGAAACACTAGGGATAGGAACACACTGGTTCTTTATTCGTATGTGTGCATATGTGTGGTATTGCTTGTCTTTGATGACTCCAGTCTAATCTAGCCTCCAAGTTTACATGAGACTGGCGTAGTATTGCCACGAAACACTAGGATATGAACACACTGGTCCTTCATTAGTGTGTGTGTGCATATATGTGATCTTTGATGACTCTAATCTAACCTCCAAGTATCTAACACCCCTAAATGTCTACCAGTTTATAAAACCCACCTACCAGCTGCTCTCGCAAGGAGCCACTGCTGGTGCGTCCTCTCCTGTCTATTCAGCAAAAGTCAATCCCGGTCATTAAAAACGCCATATTTTACACCCAAGCTGGCGGTTTTCATGACGCCAACCGTGTCCTGTTTGCTGTTTTTTCCCTTTTATATCACATCTTCTTTGTTTTCCTGTGGTTATTCTATCCGCTGTCTGTTCACCCGTCCGGTAGCTTTCCAACGATCGTCCTTTTTTTCGGATTATGTTTGGTTGTGGGACCGTGCCACACAACAAGTTGTCAGGCGCCTGTGTCGGTTCCCTCCTGGTTACAGGACCCGGTGTTATTTAACCAGGCTACCAGAGTCTAGCATGTGATAATTTATTTAGCATTTTGATAGCAAAGACAGGTAATAGAGAATTGTGTAATTAAGGTGACACATAGTTGCAGATTAGCGCAACAACACTGTGGCGCTAGCGGGTACACGAACAAGCCATCAGGTTCTGCCAATGATGGTTTTTACCCACAGATCTGGGTCTTTATTTGACTTGACGTTTTGGGTTCAAATTTTAAAATCTGGATTTTATTAAAAATATATCCTTACATAAAATTGTGTAAATGTTTCGTTTCGTAACTATAAAATTTATACTTTTCAACAATCTGGGTTTTTTATGTTCTTTACCTATCTATTGCTTGGGTTTTGGGGCAACTAAGCTGGGTTAAAAAAAAAAAAACACATTGGTAGCCACGTCTACGGTGATCAGGAGAAATTTTTTTCGTTCTCTTGCAACTGCAAGCTAGCTAAGAATTACTACCTAGTGACTCAGAATGCCAATATTCGAAATGTCAGTCCATTAGGGGCAAATCTCAGATAACTTGTTCAACTGTAGAGTATAAATCAGGGCTAATCGGCTCAGTTTACTCAGCGACCGACGCCTTGGAAATGTGGATCGTCACTGGTCCGATGACCCAGCCCCAGCATTTAAAGATCATTAATAGAATCAGGGAGTCGCCGTGGCTAGCGGCTAGACACTCGCCGCGGATCGGAAGGTCGTGGGTTCGCTCCATGGTGAAGCCGGACTTTTGTAAAAAAATAACTTTGGCTCCAGGTCGACCCAGCCTTGAGTGGGTACCGGGTGCAGTCCCGGCAAGCGAAGACGGCTGGCTTGATACTGACCACATCATCCTTTTTGTGCCGATTGGTCTATAAAAAAAATAGGTCCAGCCCTATATCCCTAAAGGCGTTGAAAAGGGTCCGTCACTTTTTTTACACTAATAGAATCAGGTTGACGATGTTTTGCGGGCCACTTGCTAGGTTTCTGCGGCCAGATTTGGCACGCAGGTCGATGTTGAATAACCCTGATGTCAAGGTTATACTGTGATCTGTAACTAATAACACCCATTGACAAGTTTCCGTTACTTTTTTTAACCTTTATATTTCCATTTTCTGAAATGAAGACACTTCCACATTTTGATCTTCTAACATGAAAACACTTCTCCCAAGATTACATTTCAATTGTGTCACTTGTATATTTTTTTCTGAATGTTTTTCTTTTTCATCATAATAAAATGTTTCAGATTAAATTTTACAAATGAAAAGGCAGATGTACTTCGATAAAAGCTCCCAGTAAGTCGACTCCAACAATATGCTTTTGGGCCAGCAGTGGGTGTGAGATTGTCTATGCCACCAGTGGTGCCCCAGAACCCACATGGGAAGTCCCGTCTCATTCATACCGACTCTCTTGACATGCAACTCACCTGCCGGTCTTGGTAATGATCATCTCGGTGCCAAGAGAGTGGAACTTTGCCCACAGATCTCGGTTATCCAAGGCCACCTTGATGTTCTTGTCCGGGGCGTCCGCTTGTGACCCCGTCAGTACCCGCTTGTGTTCGGGTCCTCCCAGGTGGTGGTAGCCACTGAATTGCTGCCCTTGGCTCACTGAAAGTATTGAGAGACACTGATCACTAGGACGTAAGTGTTCATGAAAAGAGTTAATGTTTCCAGGAAATGTGACTTTACGAGTGACTTAACCGCAGGATCTGGGGAAAACGATAGAAGATTTAATTGCTTACATCATAGCTTTTTAAACTTTTCATGTTCGAAAATTGTCTAAATGAATTGATGGTAACTATGGTTCAAAACAATTTGTCTGCACTTAGCATCACGCATGTATGAAACGACACTGTGAGCAGCATGTCATCTGATGACGTAATCACTGATTCTGCAGTTGGGAAATGGAGAAAAAGAATGTTTTAAGATGTGAACTTTTAGAGGATTATATATTGTAATTTCTGGAATTTTGCGAACACTTTATTGTTTATTTTAAATATATGTTCATTATTCGTATATTTAAACGGAGTAAATAGTTTGAAGATTTACCAGATTAGCTGGTGTAATTTAAAAGAGGCCTCAGTGCTTTTTATAGCTGATAAATATAATAAACAAACAATGTATTGATCGGCTCTCATAGACAGGATTTTATATATATATATAATGTATGTATATCTTAGGGCCTCGTTAAGTCTAAATCCGACCTGGGTGGCGTATTTGGTCGTCCAACACTTGATTGGTGCGACTGACTATTGCCCGTGTCTTGTCACCGGACAATGTCTTTATTGTCACCAGTCCATTTTCTTCTTGGACCCCGTCTTCTTTTTGTAGTTCACTGACTGTAAACTCTGACCGAAAATTCTGTTTGTTCCTCTACTTCTGGACTCTGGCCTTTTCCACAGCTTGAGTTCTGCGCACACATCCTACGTAAAGATCTAGCTTATTTGTATGCAGATTTTTATTACCTCGCCCCTCAGGCATATTCATTCCGACTTTACAGAAAAGATCCATAAAAAGTCGCCTTTTACGACATGCTTTATATGTGTGCACGTATTATACTCGAGGTTAACCAGGTGAACACATTGATAAAGTCGGGTGTGTCGGACGAAGGGTGCGCCAAAATCATCACTGCTTTAAACGCAAGATCATCAGGCGAAGGAACTAGAACAAGTTTCATCATCATCATCACTATTATCAAATGCCTTGCCGACTGACTCAGTCGATCATACCCCTATCAGAAATCGCCTTTCGTTGTCTCATCTTCCACACATCTTTTAAGTGGTCACAAAACGTTCCAACTTCCTTCTTCTTATAACATGATTTTATTTTTAAATTTTAGTTTAAACAGGTGGTCATTTCTTCTGAACACCTGACCCTTTCCTCTCCCCAAATGCAGAAAGTGAAGAAAAGGTCCCTTGTCCACGTTTTTTGGCGTCTTGGAAATATAGGGCTAGACCACAATGTTTATAGACCAGTCGGCACTTGGTGGCTGATGCGGCAAGCATCACGACGGCCCAAATGCAACCATTGTTTATGAGGTCGAATAGAATTAAGACTTGCACTGGTAGGAAATAATCTAGCCTTCGCAGGTAATTTTACCCAGCAAACTGTTTTGGCAGGCACATGTCATGACCACAACTATGCCATTAAGGCTGCCTAAGTAATATTTATTAGAGTTAACTCTTTAACTGCCAAGGAACGCAGTGAACACCGATTTATTACTAATAATACTAACTTCTGGTACCAAATAAGTTAAGAACAAACCTCACACTGCACTGATTAAAGAATCGACACCATAGCACACCAGGCAAACCGACAGGTTTTCAGTCGTCTCCCGCAGTAAATGTGTCTCCCAAACTTGTCTTAGTCGCAGCGCCTTTTTTCAATGACCACTTTTCCACAGCCCCCTAACCTAAGTAAAAGTATGACTAATTATATGTAAGAGATAAACAATATTGAAAAAAAAAAAAAAAACTCTTGTATCTTCGAATATTTCGCGGTGCCCCTGTGGAAAATCGCAGCTTCCCGGAGCGCAGTTTGGGAATCACTGGCTTGTGGCGAAGATGCTAACTGTTCCAGTAGCACACTGGTTATACACACGTCGTTCTCTACCTCTCATACGCCCCGCCTTGCCGGATCCACTGCTAATTCCTCTTTCACACTTTCTCACACATGTAATTTCATCCAATCTCGCGTCTTCTGTCAACATTCGATCATACGTAGTCTTCAGAAAATTTCTCTTGTACGGTACAAGTGTCCACACTTTAATCATAAGTTGACTATAAGATAGATAATTCTAGAACTTACCTGCCAGCGACATCGGGTCGTGGTGCATGGAGAAGGCAAATGGAGAAAACTGTGGCGCCGGCATGAGTCCGTGAGACAGAGGGAAGGCACGGGCTCTCTGGCTGAGAATATCATCCTCATACATGCTGGCATTACCTGCAAGTATATGATCAAATTATTGAAAGATCTGAACATCAAGGAAGATTGGCTAATAAACAGCATCCTGTCTCGGAAGCTGAAATATTTTGGTCATATCAAGCGCCTCGACGGATTGAAAAAAAATTATAGCAGAAGGCATAATACCAGGAAGAAGGGGCAGGGGCCGACTGACACGAAGATGGGCACAGGATATAAGTGACTCCTTGAGTATGAAAGTACATGAGGCGGGAAAACTGACGAGAGACAGAGTTTCTTTCAGGCCGACTGTGATGATGAGAGCGACGTTCTGCGAAGGAACTGCTACATGATGATGATGATATGATCAAATACCCGGTCAATATTCATTATCTGTATAATTTTTGGGTACGGTGCTAAATCAATGATCAATGGTTGGTGCGATTGCCATAGGTTGCCTTTCTTTCATGAGACATTTAACTGTGTCTTATGTGAGTCTTAGGGATCATTAAATCCTCGCTCATCCAAAACTCTTACAGACCCTTGATAAGGTAGTCCCTTATGGCATACAGTTTTTTTTTGAAGCCCCACCTGGCTTCTGCCGGGGGTCCTGAATATAACCGGACCATAACGGTTGAAAGGGTTTTATGGGAACTCTCACAAAGTGTCCTGCTTAAAGGTTGGAAACAAAATGGGGCTAGGGAGTACAAAGGAACCTGTGACGTTCTAGTAATCTGGACAATAAGGTATGATATAAAATCATGTCTGATAGTAATGGACAAATTGTGGGAAAGAAAAAAAAAAGCAGATCAAGTGGTTTAGCCATCTCGTTAAAATAAAGCAAGATCAGATACCATATAAGGCACTAAATGTCAGAAGATCCACATCAAGATGAAGAGGACGGCAACGAAATACGGATCGACAACATTAAAGACACTCTACGCGTTCACGGCGTGACAAGAGCCAATGGCAGCCAGCGTGTTCTGGATCGGAAATTATTCCTCCTCACGACGCTTAAAGGCAGAAGAAGTTTATGATCATGATAACATTCTGTGGCAGAAAAAAGCTGGTGATTAAATTATATTTGAATTGAGCCAGAAACACATGGAGAGTTGTTTGGGACTGTAAGAGGTAGTAATGATAAACATATTAATAATTCGTCTTCAGCATCCCGAGCCTCTGAGGTTCATTGCTGCAGATATTATCCGCCTCCACTCATCTCTCTGGTTGGCCTTTTGTTTCTAGTTGTTGACACCAAGTGTTTATAATGACAACAATAATAACAATTAACAATAATAATAAACGCCAAAGAGAAATCCCTTCGTGAACTTTCCATGTCTTCTAACCAACAGTGAGGTCGTAAAATAAATAGTAGCTGAGAGTTTTACAAACTACATTACGATATTAAAGTGTTTTTTTTTTTTTTTTTGGGTGTAAATGCGGGAAATTATTGGAAAGAGAAGAAAAAGGGTGATTAAAAAAAAAGTTTATGTCAGCTTTACACAATCAGTTACAATAATCAACCAAAGGACATTCGTTGCGTCGATTAGCTTTCATCTGCAAAGACAACGCAGCACACACAATACAACTATGAAATATAGAATATGATATACACGACTGTGCAGCGCCCCCCCCCCCCCCCAAAAAAAAAAAAAAATCATATTGAAGCAGTTAATACGCTAGGCTGCACGATGTTGTTAACGTGATATTTATTATGATTTCTTATTAGTACCATATGGTTTTGCTTAAAAGGCAATCCATTGTATATAAAGGGGAAAAAAAGCTAATCTGAACAATGAAAGCTGCTATTATTTCACAAGCCCAGAATAGATATAAAAGTAAATAAACGAAGCTCCCGCCTTAACTGCACCATTATCTCACAGCTATTGTCACTGCTGTTATAATAATACTTATCATTATGTTTATTATTATTATTATTGTGAAAGTAATCATTCTAATAATGTACTAGCACAAGACATACGTACTGGTTTGGTTGCAAGCATCGCCTAGAGAGGAGAAGTTAGTCCACATCTCCAGAATCTGTCACAGACCTGAACGTCCACAGTACAACCACTGATCAAAATCCAGAACTATCACTGACTACAATCTCTAAACAGTGACTACAACTAACGATGCAGTTGTGGCTGTGAAAGTCTTGCACTTACTGGTCAGCGACAAGTGTTTCTGTGCTTAAATATTACAGTGGACATCTGCCCATCCTAAATTAGTGGGCAGGACTTAATTTCAAGCACGGTTGACTGGCAAAGGTGTGGGGGTAAGCTTTGTTTCTGCTGATACGCGTTTGCAGGCTTGGCGACTTCAGGCCAGACAGGCTGTTTGCATGCATGCAATATACAAGAGAAGTCTCTTCGCAGAGATAACGATCTGCCGCAGACCCCTCAGGCAACCGGGTTACTGATAACCTGACCCGATAACATGGAGACTGATAACGGCCAAGGATGTCGACTGACTGGGGACTGGGGGACGAATGTATGTTTCCGGTTATCAGGGAGCCTAAAGTTGTTTTATTAGAGTTGCAGAAATGGCGGAGAGGCTCCTTGTGTGGGCTTTATGGCCCCAGTTATAAGTTAGATTGTCTTCCCAGCACTCCGGACACGTCGACGCAGCCTTGAGTCTCGGAAAGTAAAGGCGACAGGCGTGATGCTGACCACATCACCCATATTGTGTCGATTTGTTTATAAAAAATGTAGGTCTATCCCTATTTGCCCCATACGCCTAAAGGCGTGGGAAAGGGTCCTTTACTTTTTTTTAAAACTTTTACTTTGGACACATCCAAAGACGCTCAGATTCCCCTCTCAACATATTAATCAGCGTCAAGCGGTTAATAGTGCCAATCTTTTTTTTTTTTTTTTTTGGTTAACAAAACTTCGAGTGCGACCGGTTTGCTTCTCATGCTTGGCTGTGCCGATCTTTACTCCCAATTCTCGTATTCTTAGCAGCCGAGGGAAGAGTAATAGACTTACTACACCTTGAAAAGCATAACGTTAAAGTCGGCCTAGGGCGTGTATGGGAGTTTGGGGTCGGAAATAGACTCACTAGCTTCTGAAGAGCATGTTGTACAAGGCGACTTACTGGGAATTTCCGGAAATCGTATTGTTTGAACCGACCGGCGCAGATATCGCGACCTAGATGTAAACCACAGCACATCCTGTCCAACCGGTACTTTAAGGGTGAACACAGAAAACAGTGTGACTGGCAAAGGCGTGACTGGAGGGCCTTGAATCCACACACAAAAAACCTAACTCTGTGCGAGGCCTAGAATTTTAGAAAACAAACTCTGTGGGTTCCGGGGTCCCATTGTGGGGAAAACAAGAATAGACCCACTGCCTTCCCAACAAACAAGTCGTAAGAGTCGACTAATTGGCGGCTTCCTTCGAAGTCGGAGTGCATCTGCCTGAGAGGCAAGGAACCAACAGTCTACATACAAACAGGACCGATCTGTATAACGGAGGTGCACACAACACTCAGGTTCTGGAACAAGTCTGAAGTCTAGAGGTTGTTGAAAAACCAGAACTTTCTGGCGGAGTTTACAGCCGGTGAAAGTGAAGAACAAGAGAATGCAAATGCAGAACGATTTCATTGAGTCAGTTATCTAAAACATCTACTGATGTCTAAAATAATTGTTTGTCTCCCATCTTGATATTTTTTCCACTATGTGTCACCTTGTTTTTCCTTTTTTTCTCTCACATTGTTTATTCATTGTCTCACCACACATTAAATCTCTGGTACCAATTTCATAGAGGCTGGGTAAACCCCGGGAACTGTCAGGTTTCGAACACCGGTCGTGGGCTGCAGCAAGACGTTTTTAAAAGGCATATTTGTTCGAAGTTACTGTAATAGAAGGAGCCGCCATCACGTAGCGGCTAGACTCTCGTGTACGGATTAAAAGGTCGAGGGTTGGGGTTCTGGTGGAGCCAGTCATTTGTCAAAAACAACCTTGGCTCCCATGTCGTTCCAGCCTTGAATGCAGCGTCGTCTTAACGTAAGGGTCCGCCTGGTACTTGCCCCCATAGTCGTTTGTGTGTGGGAAGTGACTTGCCATTAAAACACATATTCGCCGTTTAAATTAATTTTGTTTATTATTACAAATAACGGAGAGTCGCCATGGCGCAGCGGCTAGACGTTCGCCTGCGGATCGGAAGGTCGTGGGTTTGCTCCATAGCGAAGCAAGACTTTAAAAAAAAAACCTTGACTCCCAGGTCGACCCAGCCTTGACTGGGTACCGGGTGCAGTCCCGGGAAGTAAAGGCGGCCGGCGTGGTGCTGACCACATCAGCCATCTTGTGCCGATTGATCTTTAAAAAATATAGGTTTAGATCTATACGCCTACAGGCGTGGAAAAGGGACCTTTCATTTTTTTAAAAACAAATAACGACATTATACCCCCCCCCCCTTTTTTTTTCTATCTCCCCCCCCCCCCCCCCGATTAATTATAATGACGTGCCAGTCAGATAAATCTATGTTTTTTAATATTAATAATATTATACTATAAATAGAATAGCACTAAAAGAGAATAAGGGACCCACATACCTCAGAGTTACGATTGATATGTTAACATGCTCCCCAAAAGAACAACAACAACACACACCAACAAGGCAGCAACCAAAGCCAGAAGGAAGATGCTATCACAAGAAACACCGGTGCAAGCCAAACTGTACAGGTCGCTTATTGAATTACAACAGATAGACACGTTCATACTAAAGACATAACTGCAGATATAGATAATCTGTTTCTAGCGAAAGAAAAAGAAGAAGAAAAAGATTATCAACCATTTACATTTCATTGTTGCAAGTAGTTCTCAAAGGATCTCCAGACCCGCTGCTTCGCCCAGGGACCCATCATTCTGTTAAGACGTCCTTCCTTGAATACCATCCCCGTGTGGGATCTGGGACCCCATTATAGGGAAAACAAGGATAGACCCACTGCCTTCCCAACAAGCATTTCGTAAGAGTCGACTAATTTGGAGCTTCCTTCCGAGTGCATCCAACTGAGCGACAAGGAACAAACACTCTGCATATTATT